TGGAGCCACTTTCTGATCCGAAGTTCCACTCCTGTGGTACAAACCAAACTTAAAACGCGTTTTTCTCCGCTTGCTGATTTGTGTTATGGGACGGACTTGCCATGAGTGGCAGTTTAATGCACCCAAGTTTTCATTGTTGCGCCCGAGGGGCGTGACACATCTAAATCTCAATTCTAGATGCTCGAAAAATCTTACACTAGCGAATGAGTCTTCGAAAAACCTTCTATCATTTTTCACATCTACTTCGTATCATTTTTTTGCAGGAAATCTTCAGAATCGTCATCAATCTTCTTTCTATCTACTCAGCGTGCACGCAGCTAACCATAGCAAAACAAAATCTTTCCTGCATCGCAGATAGAGTCGCCCCCCTTGGTTGCGCCCAATGAGCAGTTCCAGGCCAAATAGCAAAAATAATGAATTTTTGACTCGGCCTTCACCGATTTGCATGAAACTTGGCATTTTCCATATTTTTGCTAAAAATTTGGCCATTTTGGATCATGTATTTTTTTTTTTTTTTCAAATGGCGTCTATGACATTTTTTAATATTCTGTAGCACGTAAACGGGGCCTCCCTTAGCTCAGTCGGTAAAGGCGCAGCTACAAAGCAAGACCATGCTGGAGGTGGCTGGGTTCAATTCCCGGTCCGGTCTAGGAATTTTTCGGGTTGGAAAATTTCTCGACTTCCCTGGGCATAGAAGTATGATTGGACTTGCCACACAATTATACCAACGCAAAAATGGTACAGCCATCGAAAGCTCTCAATTTACATCTAGAACACTAAGTTGAGAGCATGCAATAAGCTATTATGCGATATGCAATAAGCTTGAAATGCGAAGAAGAAGAAGAAGAAGAAGAAGAAGCACGTAAACGTCATTTTTTATTGAAATGACGTTGTAGAGAATTGTTATGTTTTTATTTTAAGAAAAACACACACGGTAATTTTTAAGTAAAATTCCAAATATTTGTTAAAATTCAAATATCTCAAAATGTCCTTGTTCAATTTTTGAATTTTGTTTAAAAAAGCTCATGAAAAATACAAACTTTTAGAATGTTTAAAACAATGGACACTTCAAAATTTTCAAAAATCGTAGAACAAGAACTTTTGGTCAAATGTTTGGACTTTTTGTTACCAAGAGAAATTCTCCTGGTATTTGTCCTTATTTCAACTTCCACGGTCTATAACTTTAAAACGCTTTGATATTTTTTTATGAAATTTTCACCAGTTACTCATCAAAGAACAATGAACAAACTACTGTCAAAAGATTGTGGCTCCAATTACTAGGGGCGCGAAGGTACATTGAAACCTGCATCCTAGTTCTGTTTAAACCAGGCTTCCGAGGTCCCAAGATATCCGTAGATTTCGGGCATAGCGAACGCTTGGAAAAAAAAAATCAGTATATTGAGACTTGAACAAATTTCCAAGACAACAGCATCAATGTCATCACAACAGTAACAGGCTTGACAATCACATATCATTTGTTTTCATTGTTTAGATAACTACAACCTAAGTTAGAGCAATGTAAGATAAACTAAATAACTTCCCACAGTGAATCACCGAAATCTCCATATAAACTTCAACCCATTGGCACGGCCTCTAAACCTTTACCATTTTTGCCTAGACTAATATCGAAGACATCAAATCAAGAAGACTGGCAACTCTTCCATTTTCTCATACGAACGCTATGAGACAGGTACAATCGCGTCATCTGCTGCTCAAAGGTAAAGGCTTCGAACGAGTTTGATAGCAAAGATTACACTTAGAAGAAAGGTTTGTGTATTTGCTCATTTTTCTATGCGTTGCTTCCACCTTCACTCAAGCGCAGCGCTATTGTATCTGTCGCTTGGATTCTGGCAAAGTTGCCAATCTTCTTGATTTGTTGTCTTCGCTAATATTCAAACTAGGGAGTGGCATATAAGAAATGTATCACTTTTTTTCAAAATGAAGCACCGTACTGTGGAAGTGCTTCAAAGAACACTAAGTTGAGAGATGTTGAAAGATAGTGTAAGAACGTCAAAGCCAGGAAGAAGAAGATGCTGTATGACTTTATAATTATATGTTGGCCTAATGGCATTCACCCTTATGGCGGTCTAATCACTTTAGTTAAATTTGCCTATTTCAAAATCTGGTTACGCTCTTGATCACGAACTTCGAGTGTAAGCTGAGTTTCCCGAACCAAGTTCTAAATTTCAGAATGTAAAGTTGATGCCTAAAGTCTCGTTTGATCAAAATTCAAAAAATACCTAAATTTTATATGCAAATTTCCCGTATAACTGTAACAAGTTTTTGATACACTGTTTTGTAAAATCTTGGCAGCTATAGATGATCAAATGTTTATTTATTAATCGAAATAGTTTTGCTACTCAAATTGCTTAAACTTCATACGGGCACAGCCAACCAAGCCAAATCTATAACTATAAATCATGAATGTTGAATGAACCAGCAGCCGAGATTTCTTGCTAAAGTGTGCCCGTACAGCTGTTTTCTATAATAGGGTATACGTCCCTAACCTCGGTCTAATATGCAGCCATAGATTACGTTTTTAATCATAACTCATCAATTAATTTACCTGCAAACGATATTCTACTGCTAAATGGTATGCTTAGATATGCTTATCATGTCGTTTGCTATCAGGAACCGCAAAAAGTTGAAAAACTTACTTTTTTTAAGACAAAAACTCACCAGGGAAATGTATGTAATATCGGTCTATTGTCCCAAAATTGGGTCTATTTATGGATGCAACTTCGTCCTATCCTGTTTGATTCTCAAAAAAAACGCTCTTGGTGACGTTTTCTTATGTATTTTTTTTTATCACTATCACTGTTAACTTAATACTCTTCATTCCTCAAAACATTTCTTAGAGAAAATTTTACGAAAACTACATTAAATCACTCAAGTTAAAAATTAAAAATTAAAAATTTCGCTTATCGTCTTTCGACCGCAGAATATCTAAATCAAAACATTGTGATGTTCATTATACAGATTTGGCAGAAAAAATCTCCCTTCCTGTTCGTTCCTTATCATCCAAATGCAAACCACATTGTTGACGTTACTCTTATTGCTATATGCTGTCAAATGAATTTCATGGGCCAAAGTTAGGAACATAGAAAAGAAATGTGTCCCTAAAGTTGGGTCCATGATTTACTTGTGAAAACGTTGTTAAACAATTAAAATAAACATAAAATATTCAAACAGTAACTGTGAGTTTTACGTCTAGTGTGTATTATCAGGTAATTCCATTCAATAAATGCCATAATCAGGCCATTTGATGATCGTCAGTGCAACCTTCCCATCTTAACCTTAGAAGTCATGGCGGCTAAAAACTCCGAACAGAGTGATATTCTCAACCAGTTTTATTACTTACGAGAGCTGAAAATGTATTGAAATGTTGTGATATAAATTGATTTGTGTGTGGTACACATTTATCAATCATCAGTGATCAATATTTTCCTTATTTTTTGTGTAATATTCCTTAATTAATTATTTATTTGCGTGATAGGCCGAATGAAAGGACTAGACCCACATTACATACCGTAACCCTATAAGGTCAGCTAATCGTCAGGTTTTCAATATCTGTATTTATCTATTTAGAGTACGGAAGCATTCAACCGGAGACCTCATTACGGTTATTGAATTTATGATTTTTCGACCTCAGTTTGGACACAGTTTCATGTTTCAAGCCAGTGCAGTAACGTTTATTAACCTTGTGTCATCCCATTTAAAAAGGTCCTTAGCCTTATGAGATTTTTCCCAAAACAGAGTATCTATCTCATCCGGATTATCAAAATCATTTCCGTTACCAAGCATGTAGGATTAAAACATTCACTTTCGAATAGATGCTACATATTGAAAAAGGTAAAACTTCCAAGAGCTCAGTAGCTGCACGAATCGACGGTTATATGATACCGGCCCGACAGGAAAAAGGCAATCTATGGGATTAGTCCTTACATGATGATCCCTCATCGGAGCCATTAAATGTTATAGCATCCCACAAAGCATGAACGACCAACCCGTAACCCCCTTTTAACGGAATCACTTAACCCTTATCATTATTACATTAATTATTATTGATGCTTGTCAACGGCGGGTGGATCGTTGATGCCACCGCACGTGATGAGCTCTAGGATGAGAAAAATCTGTGATTTACCACCCGTCGGCATCGAACCGACATGAAACAGAACCCAACTAACTTTCCATTTTGCCACCAGCCCGGCCACGATTCAGCACCATTTCCTAGCCTATCGCACCCATCACAGAGAAGAGAACCTATTACGTCGGACTTGGCCTTTCCATCTCTATCAGGGCTAGGACGTCCTTTTGATGCATCTAATATGAAAGGATTATCGGTACTTAAGTGGATTGGAATGCCATTAAATGTCAACATACAAAATCATCGTTTGTAGAATACCGCTTCCCATCAATCCGCCTTGAAGCTTGGCTCCCTTTGAGCTAATCGCTTGGAAGCGATAACCGACCGACCCGTCGTCGTTAAGATTGTCTGGCCACATTTCAAGCGATTGTCTGTCCCCTTTGTCCAATCATGTCTATGACATAGCCAAACTTTGTGTCCCCAACGGAATCCCACAGCCTAATTTAAAATGATACCACTGCGAGCATCTCGCAACTAATTTGATCCTCTAAGCACGACAATAAAATTGAATTATGTTAAACACATTCAAACTTTGTGTCACTGTTATTCAACTTAATTTGGTTTGGTTCGGTTTTGTTTATTGGCGTTTTCACGATGAAGATACAGCACCAATCAAGTTATGTTCAGCCATATACTCACTGTTAATTTTATATACCAACGATAACTGTATGTTTATATTGATATGTACCGCAAAATAAGCGAGATTCGTGTTTCGTTGTTGTTTCATTCGATGGTTATCCAGTACATATTATTCCACGTTGAATGTATATCTGTACTTGAGGAAATGTTGAATGTTGTTTTTGATTTCCAATCTACTGGGATATACTTAAATTTTGTTATCCACTTCCTGCAGTTATCATGATGGACGAAGAAGATGATGAAGACGACGAAGAGGAAGACATCGAAGAGGAGGAACTGGACATTGTGGGAGAAATCGATTCCCCTCCTTGGGACATGTACGGCGAGCTGGACGTCGAGGATCAGGACGAAACGACGGAGAACACGGCCTTACTGCGAACGGCCGCCAAGACCGAGATCATCGTCACGCCAATTAGTCCGGTAAGTGACCGACTTGCTTGCATAAATAAATGTCCAATGTAGAAGAATGGTTTCCCTTTTGCGTACTCAACAGGTCAGCTCCGCATACGAGCTAAACCGAATGGATAGCGACGAATACAAACGGCCACGTCTGGGTGCCATGGGAGCCGGTAGCACCACCAGCACCAATAACGGTGCAGCCACAACACCAAACAACAACGACAGTGACGACCGCCAGCAAATCACTGCAGGATCTTCCACCGGTGGCGGTACCACGATGGACTCGCTCAGACCGGAGATGACCCCACAACAACAGCAGCAGCAGCAGCGCAGCCTCGCCTCCGAAGACATATGAGAATGGCTGAAACTGTCCCCAATGGTCCCATTTAGTTTGAGCTGCTGCTGCTGTTGCTACTGTTACGGCTGCGACTACCACTTCCCATTCCATTCCCAGTTCTGCTATGTTTTCCAAAATATTTCTCGACTGGTGCTACTACTGCTAGCGCTTTCCGTCTGGACGCCGCCACTGACCATCACGTTCTTGACATGTCCATCAACAACAGTTGCTGCCAGCATGGAGACGACCACAAAGACCAAACCTCCAAATGGGCACCACCAGCAGCACCTTAATCACCGAAACTTGACGGCAGCACTAGCATACGAAATCCTAAAGTTTTAGTAGATCTAGTTGTTAAGCAATTGATTTCTCCACAAAAGTTAAGTCATTTCCTCGACAGTATAGTATGAACGAAATTCATGAAGACGATTTTAGAATATAAGTTTAAAAGTTGTTTTTAAAATCCACGTATCGATTGGGCAATTTAGATCTTGAAGAAATGATTGCTTGTGATTCTCAGATATCCCTATATCGACATAGTGTGTCTAGCATTCTTGAAAATTTTAGCGAAAATTTCATTGATTTGCGTGTAAGTAGTACTTAATCAAGATTTTAAATCTTCCGATTCTAGACGATTAATAAATACTATAGAGGTTTGACGCAATGTCAACCGCTTCGGTATGGAGAGTGATGCATTGAACGGAGGTAAATTGTGTTGTGGTTAGGGCTGAAAAGGGTTAATTTTCAGTTGAAGATTACATGCGATTTTTACTGAAGACGCTTCCTAAATCCATACTCCGATTTAAAAAAAAACGGGGTGAGGGATTTTCGTCAAATTCTTTGACATGACAGAACGGTGTTGTAAAGATTGCAATGATGAGTTTATTTATTGTTTACATGGGTGTACCTAAGGGAGGCACGGGACATCGAATGCATCTCCCCCTAATTCAGTTACAGTATTAATTTTCAGAATTAATTTATTTTTATTTTTTATTATCGTGATTTTTAGCCGTAGGCTAGTTTGTACGTTTAAGAATATGGAATATGGAATTGCGAAAGTTCCAGGAATTGATTACCGTAAGCTGTCAGTTTTGATCGCACAACTACTGACAGCATGGTGGGAAAAAGATATTCAAAAATCCAACACCTTAGGTGTTTTATGAAGGCTGACCTTCATGATGGGCCAAAACTTCTCAATCGGGTGAAGTTCTGGCCAGTTCGGTGGGTTGACGTCTTTTGGTACAAAAAGTAAGAGGTTGTATGCACGACAGTAGATTTGACGTAGAATTACGTGCTCGGTATCAATATTCGGCGACTGTGTTAGGGAATCCACTTTTTCTCATCACGGAAACGCCTCGTTCTTTCGTTGTGTACTGGAGAACAATGTTCAACGCCACGCGTCGAAAACACTGCTGCTACTGCTGATGCTGATGATGATGACGACCGATCGGACACCATCACACATGGTGATTGAATAAGCACCGTTCGGCGAGACCAGATGGAATTCGATTTTGAAATCTGAGTTAGGGAAAGTGTTCATTTTAGCAGATTTGTAGAAAAATATTCAATCGATAATCTTGTTTAGAATTAAAATCCATCCACTATTGACAGGGTTATAAGTGGTCAAAACCTGACCACTTTTCGTAACACGGTCGATTTTGTTTTTTTTTAATTGCACCCCCGAAATGTTGCCAAAAGACGTAATCATACGGCAAAACAACATTACTGTCTTTGTACCAGTTTAACACCAGCCGCGCGTAGTGGCAGTATGCCAAATCCGGCCAAGACAGCGTCTCGCCTCCGTGAGACCGCAGGAAGGGTAGGAAGCGCTGCTGGCGACACCCGTCCCGGCAGATTTGCCCGTTGATGGTACTCCTGCCCCGGAAACTGCTTTGTGCTGCTTTGATGTAAGTCTCGTCGTCCATCGCGACACACCTCGGTTTCTTCAGCCACTCCTGGTACAGCTTCCTGGCACGGGTTTTGGCCATCGTGTTTTGTTTGTCGTTCCGGTTCGGTCCTTTTTGGACCTTGTAGACGTGGATGCCGGCACGTGTAATCGTTTTTTCGACAAACCAGGTGGAAACATCCGCCTTCTTCGCCGCATCGCGGATCGAAAAATTCGGCACGCTTGAACAGACTCAACACCTTCCTGACCTTCACCGGGTCAGCTGTCTTCGGTTTTCAGCCGCAGCCTGCCCACCGGTGGGTCGTCTGGGTCTCCTTGTCTCCACCACCCGGGAAATCGTCGAATGATGGATTCCCTTGTGTTTCCCGATCCATCTGTGGGACGCAGTCGGATTTTTCACGACGGCGCACAGGATTTTTTGGCGGATCTGCTCTTGCTGAGATGCCATCTCAAACCACTAGATAGATTGTGATGATATTCTTCCAGCGTAAACATTACACTCTTAGTCAGTTTCAGTCAAAATTTCATCAATTTTTACCCACACGCTAAAAAGTTACAAATTAATCAACGTGTCTCACTTTTTTCAATAGTTTAAGAAGTATAATATACCAATTTAATTGAACTTGAACAAAGTAGATCTAGGGCAGCCTGTTTGCAATCTATGGGTCGCAAGATTTCAGACCATTTGAATACGTTTTTCAAATTTTATTAAAAGATCTGAATCGAAAATTATGTTCTAATAAGCAAAATATAGCTTAAAGAAAAATGTATTTTTTTAAATGCTTTGATTGTAAAAACAACTTAAAATCCAAATTATTTAAAATCCGCTGAAAGCTGAGTTTAAATCACACTGATAGAAACCAATTTTATCTTACAATAAACTATTCCAACTAACGATTTGATTCCCTTGAACAGAGTTTAACGGTCATTTTAACTTATCCTATTTTTTGGGCTGTTTTATCATTAAATTTTGGCACTATTTTTGGTGTTTTAAGGCAATTTTGACATTTACAAGCCATTTTGGCATTTCTGGGAGAATTTCAACACTTTTAAGTCAAAGTTTCAAGGTACTTTTTAAATTCAGCTCTCCAGGCTCTCTTTAGGTAATTTAAGATTTTGGTAGACCATATTGGTGATTACAAGGTTGCTTTTCGCGTTCCTAGGGGCATTAGAACATTTTTATGATCACTTTAGTACTCTCAGTATAATTTCAAGACGCTATGGCAGTATAAAGCTATATTGGTTTTATTATATTTATGCATATTGGTATTTTAATAGCATTTTTAGATGATTTGAATGTTGTTTTTGGAGATTTGAGTTATTTAAACATTAAATTTTTGAGCTATGATCGCCATTTTCGCAAATTTAAAGGTATTATTACAGCTATTTCTGTAAATTCTAGCCATTATAACGTTTCTTTGGTCACTTTTGGTGCTCCTAGAAAAAAAATCGCTATGTATGATAATTTTGGAGTACCAGGGCGTTTTGACGGCTTTAAGGCAATGTATAGGTTTTAGGCCTATTTCTGAGTTATTTTGGTGTGGTGCTCTTAAAATGTTTAGGCTATATTTGTTTTCATCATTGTTTAGACCAGTAAGAGCCTATTTTTATCATTTACCATTACACGCGAGTAGCGTTTTAACCCACTGTAGATGAATTGCGGTCGAGATATTTTCCAAGCCGAAAAATTCCTAGGCCCAACCGGAAATCGAACCCAGCCACCTCCAGCATGGTCTTGCTTTGTAGCTACGCCTTAACCGACTGAGCTAAGGGTGGGCCCGATTTCCATATTAGTTCAGGAAAAAAGTTCAATATGATTCTGACGAGATGGAACACTGAGGGAAATTCTCAGAGAATTTAAAAGAGAGCTCTATAGGAATACCGAGATTAACTCCATTGAATTTGAAATCTAAAGGTAGTTCCTTAGGATTTTGTCTAGACAAAAAAGCAACCCTTGCACACGATGGTCATGATAAATTCGTTTCATTTTGCACGAAATCAAAAATGAGCACCGGCTTGTCTCCGTCCTGACATCGTTCTTTTTCACTTTGCATTGAATTTATTCATTGAACGCAGAACCAGTTTTCTGAGTAGTGTGAATTATTCAAGAGTGATTCGAATGCATTCGCTTGCATCTACTGAGTAAGCTATTTGTAGAGAGAATAACTAGTTTGCTTTCTAGCTTTTAACATAACATTTGAATTGCTATTATAATGAAAATAAAGCAATATTTTCAGTGGTGTTGAGTACTTGGCACTGATGAAGTCTGCAAGTAGTAGACGAAATACGCGTATCTGTCAAAAGATAAGCAATTATAACGGAATTTAAAGGAAATAAACCAACCCACTCAAAGCTCTTCATAAAGGGATTCCGTTAAGAGGTTTGACAAATTTAAAGGATTAATATTTTCTATGAAAATCGGGTCACGCAAATAAGCAAAAACTTTTGCAATCAATGCAACTGCATGCCATCTCTGAACTAAATATATCCCAAGATCCATTTGCTGATTCTAAATCATCACCGTTCCATTTTAACACACGTGTTTTTTGGGAAATGTTCTATCCCACATCAACCATGGCGGAGAGGTTCACTTGTTTAAGAGAAACATTTTTATTTAATATTTCCATGAAAAACCCCCCAGTATTCAAAAATTGAGGTGATGAACTTGTTTATATTTTGACATATGTTCCTATTTTAATATTCTTATCTGATTGGAATTTAGGAGCCAAATGTAATAGATAAGTAGGAGAAATGGCTCTAATGTTGGCCTTGGATCTAAGATTGGGTCCATTGCTAAAAATCTACTATTTATCAATTTTATCTAGACGAACGCGTCATTGGAAAGGTACTAATGGATATTTTTGTTCGCTATTAAAAGTTTAGTCGATTGCTGAACTTATATGGGCCCAAATTAGGGGCATTTAGACCAACTTTGCATCCATTTTCCCAATGTATTCGCATTTTTATGACGTCCTAAATTTGAACAAGTTTTACTTAGAAAGAAATACAAAATATGGGTCGAAATGATAGGTTTTATACTGTATTTTAAACCAATATAAAAAAAAAAAACATGCACAAGAAATTCTCTAAACAGTTTAACGTAGTCTACGTCAACCTTGCGGTCGTGTACACAACCCCACCACTTTTTATGTTGCTACGGTCCTCGCTTGACTGGATGATATTTCCCTTGGTTTCATACAATTTGAACAATTTATTTAGTTTTAAAATTTCATTTGAAACGAGTTTCTTCGATTCTGTGGAATTCCTGATGGAACTTTGTGAAGATCCCATATGAGGTCTCCTAGATAACGTTTTGAGAATCCCCAGAATTCTGCCGAGACCAGACTATGCGGAATTTCAGTAGATAACTTGTGAAAACAGTAGATGACCACATTTTCAGCCTACGACCACTGTAACAGACTTACTTTCGTTCAAAATGCACCACATCAAACGCAACTAGTTTCAGTAATGAATAGAGAACGATAGTGAATCATGATATTCCATCCCGCACAAATTATATACTCAAATTGCTTGCTACATTATAGCACAATGATTAAATTACAGATATTATTTATGGTAGGAAACAAAAAACATATTATTTAACATTGCTTAAGGTCATGGAAAAAAAGCACAAAAAATGACAACATTGTGATTTCAGTTTACGATTATCCTCATGACATGCTGGTAAACCTGGAAGCCTCGAATATCGAATTCAGGTTTAGGTGACACATTCTAGAATTGAGCCAACTGAAGAAGAAAAAAACCAATACTCTAGCCATTAATCGATTGATAGCTCGTTACGAGCGACCATACCAAATTAGTGAATCCTAGAACCTAGACCATCAGCAGCTACCAGTAAGTGCAAAATTTCAATTGGAAATAATGAAATCAAACTACTAGACTAGCTAATAACTAACGGTCTCTCGGGAGCTTGGCTCTACGCGGAACCCGAGGGAAACCGATGCAAATATTACAAACACACACACACAAAGGCCAAAACGGATTTCGACAAAAGTAAATGCAGAATTAAATTAATTATAAAAGTACCAAACGTAAAGCGTAAAATTTATACCGATACAGTACATATGAAAGGAAAACAAGATTAAATACCGCGAATTGTATGCTAGTGAACCGTAGAATTGATAATTAAATTGAAATTCATGCAAAAATGTCAATTATTAATTGTAGAACACGGCAAGGAGACGAACGAGTAGAGTAGGTGCAGAGTGACCGAGAGTATTATTATAAGTCAGATTAAATCGTACCATTCGCTGGTTTCAGGGTGATCCCAATTCGTGAATCCACCCCGAGAGTGTGTAACACATGAACTGATGGACGCACATAATGCACCCACTCATGAGAACATGTTTAAAAAAATACGCAAAATGGCGAAAGTCGTTTGATTATTATGTACTCACATTGGTTTTCCATTGTGCTGCTGGTGTCGTGACAAAAGGGTATGCAAACTCTCTCCCAAATCCAGGTTGAAAGTATTCAACAAAAAATCACCGAAAACCCTATTTTTCCCAAAACACCATCATGGGCCAGCGATTTTTCCTCGAATTCTTTGGAGCCCACTGGATCCGGGAGAGGGACATAAACACAAACACAAACACATACACACACACACACCGCGATGCCATCAGCTGAACCGGAAACCAAACCGTGCACAGAGAACTCAAAGTATTTCGAAATCAAAAATTCTTCCAGGACGACGGCTCTAGGCATTATTCCTGTAGACTGTTACTGTCTAGTAGAAGACGGGACGACTTAGAACGAATGTGCGTACGAGTGAGAAGCAAAGTGAAAGACAAAGTAAAAACCCTCTAAATCTAACTGTTGGCATGAATGTGTGAAAATCGACAAGACAATAAAAGAACCAAAAGGAAGAGAACGCACCTTAAACTGGAAGATAGATCACAAGGAGGCGAACACAAACACTCACAAATAAAGGCAGTCGGAATGATTCGAGCTCGAAGAGCGGATGCTTAACTGACGGTAGGAAATTGTAAGCGTATCTAGGGAAACTCAACATAGAACATTACATTTTAAAAAGAGAACAGAACAATCTAGGTAGGTGAAATGTCTGCTTCAACACGTCTTACCCTATTATCGGCAGAGTCAGGGTGAAGTCTTATGGTGTTTATTTTTGCAAAACGGTACTCTGGAACATGATGCA